ATTCTGAATTGAATCGGTCTTAACTGGATTGAACAGCTTAACATTTTTGAAATTCCTCTTAAGTCTCTGTTCAATACATTTAGTCTTACGTCTGTTTCAGACATTGAAAAACATTTTATGGACGAACTTAAAAATAAGTTCAGTGACATTTTTTCAAGAGGGTCGTGGTTACTGAGAAGGCACGGTGGAGTAATGGATAGCGGCTTGGATTGAGGAATCGTAGAGCCGAGTTCGAATTCCAGTCGAATCCATTACATTCACTTACGTGCTAATAACCTTGGGAAAGGTGTGAATCCTCTTCTTCTCCCTCCAGATATGGGTAAATAGCAGGACAGACTGGGTTCTATAGCCTTGGATGGCAACTGGTCTAGGAGAAGGAAAACTCTGAATTCAAAACCTGCGGAGACCTGGGTCTCTCTGAGCCTTGGTTGGCAATCCATAATGGTGTCACGATAAAAAACAGCCTTGATAGCCCTAGCGAAGCATCAAGAATTCAGCTATTTAACAAGATTATGAACTACACCAATCAAAGTATTAGCTATGACAGATAAGGAATACTGGAAAGGTGTAGTGAGTTCAATCTCGGCTGAGGCCGCAAAAGAAGAGAAGACCGTATTAAAAGTAAGGCAATTTTGAAATTAAAAGAGATCTCAAAACCAATTTTTAGACCAAAACGACCTGTGCCTTATGCCGCATGTAATATGGTTGAAAATGAACTTCAACGTCTTCAGCAAGAAGGTGTAATAGAGCCTACAAATTATTCTCAATGGTCAGATCCTATTGTGGTAGTAGTAAAAAGAAGCAAATGAAAAAGTCCGGATATGTGCTGACTACTCAACTGGTATAAATAATTCTTTAGATAGACATCAATATCCACTGCTAGTTCCAGAGGATCTTTTTACTAAATTAAATGGTGGAATTTTCTTCGCAAAAATTTGATCTTTCCGATGCTCTTCTCCAACTGGAAGTTGAAAAAGAGTCTAAGGAGCTCCTTGCTATCAATACCCACAAGGGTTTGTTCATATTTAACTGCCTTTGTTCGGAGTCAAACCAAATGCAGCCATATTCCAGCAAACAATATATATTAAAAGATGTAGGCATTTTTCAACTGGGACGTTGGAATAAAAAAATGAAATAAAGGGATTTTATATCGAGACGGGACATGCTTCTGTCAATCATATTCATTTCCCTATTCATATTCATTAGTTTTTCAACTAGGCCACCGGATTTGCTTTATATAAGATAGACTGATTGTTCCAAGGAGAGGGGTTAGGATTTTTGTTAAGGCTTTCCCGAGTTGGGGGTGTCTATTCCTGAGATGATGAGGCACATTTGGATACCTGTTTTCTAGGTTTTAAGGAGACCGAAAACTTTCTCCTTAACAACAACTTAAACCTCTTCCACTCACCTGTCTAAAACTTGCCTCTGTTAAGGTTTAATCTCCCACCTTCTCTCGTCTGTTACCCCTCACTTTAACACTAACATTCGTCCCACACTCTCATACTTACACTCTTTCTAAATTCTATTTTTAATTCCGAAGTTATTTTTTCTGATTTCTTTTTGAATTTGTAGGTCTGATGAATTGGATCGTATTTACGATTACAATGGAATAAATTATGACCATGGAATATTAGTGTTTAAGCCTTTTTATTATATATAAATATATAAATATATATATATATATATATATATATATATATATATATATATACGAATACAAGGTTGGTATAGATGGAATAAACTTCCAGTAACAAAAACACTATTTTTAAAAAGTGGTCAATACAGAATAGTACACACATTAACACATCACTACAAACATAGCCATTTTGTTTCAACATTTTTGGTGTCTGGTCAAATGATGGTTTCGCAAGTTGGTATTGGTGTTGGTATTGATTTTCGAATACCAGTGCCTTTGTATGCATATGTATCTGAGAGAGAGAGGAAGACAGACAGACAGAGATAAAGAAAAAGTAAAAGAAAGAAAGAAAGAGAGAGAGAGAGAGAGAGAGAGAGAAGGTGGAGAGTCAGGGTGATATGATCAAAAGACACTACCATTTCTCTCCTATCAGGAATACGCCCACACGTCGCATTTTGATTGACCATTTAAGAATAACCACTCCGAAACCTTAATGATTGTTCTATATAAAACCCCAGGCCATAATTGTCCAGACATTTTTAAGGAAGAGCCTAGCACGAACACCAGACTCCTCATCGGCAACATGTGGATAAAAGCGATGCTTTTTGCCACTTTGGCATTACTAGGGGTAAGTTTGTTTTTCTTTCTTTCCTTTCTTTTTCTTTTTTTTTTTTTTTGAAAATTTCCTGCGCCAACATACATCTTAAAGAAGAAGAAAGCATAAAGTGACTCAAGTCTAAGTGTCCAAATATATTTAGAACTGATTTTGACCAACACAAAACAAATTTAATTCACTAGAATTTTAGAATTTATTTATCTCAGATGACCAAGACAAATAACTTGACTGCACTAATGTAAAGGGTGATACTGGGATCTGGACTGCAAAAGCAGTGATTTTAGAAATTGGCTTGAAATGGTCAAGGTCCGTGTCACACCGCCAGAGGGTAGCCACACAATGTTGCTGCCATCTTTTGGTAAAAGATGAAGTTGCATTTCTTAGGTGTCTACTTTACATAATCTGATTGACAATGATGGCGGGCCGTAAATGATTGATTCTATGACAAAGAATTTAACCGCGGGCCGTAATTTGCACCCGGGTCGGATTTTGGACATGTCAGCTTTAGGCCATTCTATGGTAAGATGTGAAGAAGGCCAGAAGGCAAATCCGCCGAAACGTTGTTATCAGAACATTAGCCCGACTGTAAATAATATAAATAATCTAATTTCGATCCAAAAATTCAACAAAGAAATAGAAATTTGCACAGAAAAATGTTTTCAAACGACTCATATTCCATTACGCTGTTTAATGCAGTGAGAGCAAATTTCAAACACAAATATCTCCGGTTCTAAAAACAAAATGCTACAATTTCATACAAAAACTTACTAAAATTTTTCTACTTAGAAGTGATACGAAGATTAAGAAGACAAAATTCTTCGTTTCTTCGTTACGGATAAAATTTTGACATATTTTTTTAGTTTTTTTTTTAAATTTTGAGGTAAGTAATTGGCAATATACTTCGACTCTCGTTCCCATCTTCATTATTCTCAATGTTGTTATAGACACAACGCTTCGATCAAATACACTGGCCATCGTCAGATGTCCACTGTTTTTGATTGGTCTTGCTCATTATTGTGTAATATCGTGACTTCTTTTTTTCTGTTCTTGCATAATAATCGTGAGTTCAATTCCTGGTTCAAGTAGTGAAATAATAATTAAAAAAATAAAACAATGATCAGCTTAATCCTATATCAACAAAACCACTATGAACATTGAAGATGGTAAGAAAGCATTTGATCGAAACGTTGTAATTGTAATAATGTCTATAATAATGTCTACAATAAACATTAAGGTAGATAATTGAATGACAAAATTTGAAAAATCCTATATTACACATTTCGACCTTCGAAAGGACTTCTTCAGATTAAATGAAAAGTGCGTGGAAACACATACTTTTAATAAGCTTAGGCTAGTTTGACAAAAGGTCACAAGAAAGGAGCACTCGCAGAGATCGAATATTGCGGAACCTACTTGATAATCATTGTCCTCCTGCATGCATTCACGAATTTCATAATTCTATAAGAAACGGCGGGAAAAAAATTAATGCACAAAAATTTAACCAGAATAGATAATGGTATTATAAAAATAACGTCATCATTAGTCCCCTGATAGGCTGTGGTCGTAGGGTGGTTGCGCAGCTGAAACACCTGACCAGTTCTCTCCGGATACCTGGTTTGAAAGTCGGAGATGTATTCAATCACCTGTGGCGTGTCTTGGGTGACGAGACCTGGCGGAACATATCCCTCTCAACAGCCGAATTTTCTCCAACTTGAAGGCACACACCTGCCTAGCGATGAGATGTCATCACTGCCCTGGCAGCATATATTGCTATAGAGCTCGGTCTATCCTATTCTACTGTCTTCGATGTTCATTAATCTCACGAGGTTTTCCCGCCCTTTGACAACTCTTGCTCTTTATCTCACTTGCTATATAGTCACTCTAATCACCAGAAAAAGCCTGAAGAGGGAACCGGTTTAGTCACCAATGATCCAACCATGAGGTTTTTAACTGATTGATTTGTTTTTTACGGCTTATCAACCTCTTGCAATTTATGTAAAGCCAGAAAATATTTTTAGTTTGTAAGAATTATTTGAAGATAATAATGATTTACTGAAACAAATCCTACTAATTAACCCATAACTGGGAGAGAAGAGGTAAATTCAGGTCTTCCTTAAGAGTAATTGTGCGTAAGTGAATATAACTAAACTGACAAGAATTTGAACTCGGCTCTCCGAGTTTCAATTCCGAGTCGTTATCACCAGCATATTCAAATTTACAGCACATGGAATTTCCATGCGGTTACCCATCTAGGTACTGACCAGGCAGAACGTTGCTTAACTTCGGGGATCGTACGCAAACCGGTATTTCAGTGTGATACGGTCGTAAGCCCTTTACACTAACCGCGCATACAAGCATACAGCCCCAGATATTCCCAATAGGTCACCCATCTAGGTACGGACCAGTTTGGATGTTGCTTAATTTCGGTGATCGTACGAGAACCGGTATTTCAATGTAATATGGCCGTAAACCTTTTGACTATTGACATATCTAATTTTACTTCCCCTAATATTCCCAAAGCAGTCACGCATCTAGATACCGACCAGGCTGGACGTTGCTGATCGTACGGAAACCGGTATTTCAACGTAATATGACCGTAAGCCCTTTCGACTACTTGCATATTCAATCTAACAGCGCCAGGTATTCCTAAGCGGTCAGCCATCTGACCAGTCTCGACGTTGCTTAACTTTGGTGATCGTACAATGTAATATGACCGCAAACTCTTTAGACTAATCATATATCCAATCTTACTGCCCCTGATATGCCCAAGCGGTCACCCATCTAGAAACTGACGAAACTCGACGTTGCTTAACTTCCGTGATCGTAGGAGAACCGGTATTTCAATGTGATATGGCCGTAAGAGCTTTTGACTACTCACATATCTAATTTTACTGCCCCTAATATTCCCAAAGCGGTCACCCATGTAGATACTGACCAGGCTGGACGTTGCTGATCGTACGAAAACCGATATTTCAACGTTATATGAATGCAAGCCTTTTAGACCACTCGCACATACAAATATGCAACACCTGGTAATATGAACGTAAGCCCTTTCGACTACTTGCATATCCAATCTAACAGCACCAGGTATTCCCAAGCGGTCACCCATCTGACCATTCTTGACGTTGCTTACCTTTGGTGATAGTTTAAGGTCATATAGAACTAAGCCTACCGTGTGACAGTACTGGGTTATATTGTACCAACAACATTTGCAGTTAAATTAAATGTTGAATTACGTTAATTGATACAGGTAATTACTGAATTCAATGAATATCTTGTAAAATTCAGAATGCCGCCATTTTGAATGACATCGATGAGGATAGCAGAAGCTGAGATGCATTAATTGAGGAGCTCAAAAGTAAGTGATATATTTTTTATTATTTTATATATAAACTTTTTTTGAAAAAAAATGCTGTTGTAAATATATATAGTAAGTTGGCCAGAAAGTCCTGACTCACTTAAGAAGCAGAAAGAAAACAACTGAATTATATGGGGCAACATTCCCGATCGTCTCCTGCTAGCGATCACCCAGCATCCGAATATGTCCTAGATACCAGTCAGCTGGCTTTGAATAATAATAAAAAAAACCTGCAACCATGCTTCCCTCAAAAAAGTGTTGAATCTCTGGTCGTGGAGGAAGTGTGCCATTGCGCAGGTTGGACCCAAGTCACTCGGAGCAGCATCGGGACTAAATGGTGGATATGGAAGATTCTTAACACCGTCCATCTGTTTGAACTTCTCCTTAGACAACTTGGCAGTATGTGAAATCGAATTGTCTTGCCGAAATGAAGCCCGATTTCGATTGACCAAAGCAGAACACTCCTTTCTTAGTTTGTCGTACATTAGGTCCATCTGCTGACAATACAATACAGCGCTGACACGACCGTGTGGAACAAGCTGGAAATGCTGTACTCCATGGAAATTCTACCAGACAGAAATCAACATTTCTTTCCGCTTCCTAAGTGAGTGAGGACCTTCTGGCCAATCTAGTATTTTGAAATATAAATTTTATTTCGTTTTTTTTTATTTACTTCTTCATTGTAAATGTATTTATTTATGACATTTAAAATGGAACTCGCTGCAAGTAAAGGTTGGGACTTAATACTATAGACAAGACGTGTGCAAGGCTTTTGTGCCACATCCACGATTCTACGATACACCCCCCTATCTGTCATATAGGGCCCCCAACTCTACTACATCTCAATTTTCATAAGGTAGTATGCATATAAATTTTTATTGTAACGGAATTATGTACAAAATAGTTGAACAATTCAACGAGAAAAGTTTGAAAATGAACCCAATGTATCTAAATGTTCACTTGACCTCAAATGGAATAATGCATACGATCCATAGCTAAAGATTCAGGTAAAATGTCCGGCTCCCTGTAGCAAGTGCCTGACTCCATTTTCTTTACAAAAGCATTCTTGGTAATTTTTTTTACAGTGGATTTTACGTAATTTTATGCTTTCAACTACAGATATTTCGTACATAAATTTATGTTTTCATGGTAAAGGTTATGTTTTTAGATATACAGTTTGCTGATCATAAAATGTACCGTTGGTTATTTTACTATAAAAATCTTTATATGTTTTGCTGTTGTCATTTTGCTATGAAAACGTATTGTTAGTCATTTTATTATAAAAATGTAGTTGAATTTTGTTTGGGGGTTCACTATTTGTCCATAACTGGGACCCTAGCAGATGCTACTACCCCAGGTCAGAGTGGATCTTGAACAGCAACAATTAAGAGGTGGTTACTCGCTTCTCAAAATCTCCCGGTCAGAGGCCTTACTGCCGGATGTAGTTTATCGTCATACCCAGGAAAACCGAGTTAATAATAATTGATTTGTAATGTCGAAATTAAGATAAAACATTAAAGTCATTTTTTTTTTTTTTAGAAGACTAGATTCTATATACATAATTTTTTTCTTTGCCTAGATCGAGCAATTCGTCGTCCCGGCGGAGAAGCAATAGAAGTTATGTTATTAAATGTTGATCTAATGGAATAACCTGTCACCCCCAGGAGTGACTGCACTATAGGTAGTAACTACATATAAGTAGCTGTAAGTCAATGGACTACAGGGACTACCCGAAAACGTATTGTTAGTCATTTTATTATAAAAATGTACTGTTTAATTTTGTTTGGGTGTTCACTATTTGTCCATAATTGGGACCCTAACAGATGCTACTACCCCAGGTCAGAGTGGAACTTGTAACAGCATCAATTAAGAGGTGGTTCCTCGCTTCGCAAAATCTCCCGGTCAGAGGCCTTACTGCCGGATGTAGTTTATCGTCATATCCAGGAAAGCCGAGTTAATAATATTTGATTTGTAATGTCGAATTTAACATAAAACATTAAATTCATTATTTTTTTTAGAAGACTAGATTCTATATTCATATTTTTTTTCTTTGCCTAGATCGAGAAATTCGTCGTCCCGGCGGAGAAGCAATAGAAGTTATGTTATTAAATGTTGATCTAATGGAATAACCTGTCACCCCCAGGAGTGACTGCACTATAGGTAGTAACTACATATAAGTAGCTGTAAGTCAATGGACTACAGGGACTACCCGAAATCTTTTGGTATAGACAGTCGAACTCTCTGCCCCGACGAGGCTCAACCGAAGGGCAGCGTCTCGTTCAGGGAGGTAGACTGGCCCTAAACCTGTTTTTGTCCAAGCATACGGGCTCGGAGAACCTACGTTAAACTGGCCGTGTGCCACATGCAACCCCCGTGGGAGACAGTTAAATATACTACCCGAAATCTTTTCGGCTAGACGGTCGAATTCTCTGTCTTCGGGCGGAGAGGAACCCGGACGAGGCTCCGACGAATGGCAGAGTCTAGTTCGGGGAGGTAGACTGCCCCCATCCCACTTATGCGGGGACTGCGGGTATTTTTTGGCCGAACCTACGAGCTTGGAACACCCACGTTAATCTCGTCCTTGTGCCACATCTACACTCATGGGGCGGGGGCTAGTAATTACCGACTAGCTGCGATCTGTTCCAGCTAGACGGTCGGTCTCTCTCCCTTTGGGCAGAGAGGAATCCGGACGAGGCAGTCTCGTTCGGGGTGGTAGACCAACCCGATCCCGTTTATGCAGTTTCTACGGGTATTTTTGGGCCGAGACTACGGGCTTGGATACCCCACGTTAAACTCAGCATTGTGTCACATCTACCCTCGTGGGGTGGGGGCTAGTAAATACCGACTAGCTTTGATCTGTTCCAGCTGTCACTGTTGAACTCTCTGCTTTCGGGCAGAGCGGAAACCGGACGGGGCTGTGCCGAAGGGCAGAGTCTCGTCCGGGGAGGTAAACAGACCCGAACCCTTTTATGCGGTCTTTACGGGGAATTTTTGGCCGAGCCTAAGGGCTCGGATTTCCCCACATTATATTCGGCTATGTGCCACATCCAACCCCGTGGGGAGATTGGTAAATATTTCTAGCTGGTATCTGTTGAGTATGACTCAGACATACGTGAGAACTACCAACCTTCCAATAGTAGCACTATTGACTTGCAACGACCTTATGTATAACTGCTACTTTTATTCTTATTGTACTGGTTTTTCCTATAAACCTTTACTTCTTTTATCTACCTTGTTTTTCAAATATATATTCCTATTAGCACGGAATATAACAAATGTATTTTTAAATAATACCAAAATCATTCCGATTTCATTGTCTTTTTTTCTTTCAGTTTTTTCCCCTTTTTATTCTTTTCTTCCGGATGTCCAACATATCTTCTTTTAACTCAACTCTCCAAGATTCCCCTCCCCACTGCCGTAAATAGGTACCAGTGATTTCAATACCTGTTTCCGTCGTCTATCAAAAATCTAACCACATTCTGTACTTTTGTGCTGATTTTTGACAACTAAGCTCGTATCTTGAGCTCTTCCGTTTTCGATCGTACGTTCTGTTTTCTTATAGTTAGTCCTTTCTTCCTTTTTGCCTTTACCAAATTGTCTAAGAGTTCTTGCAGTTTCCCGCCTATGCCTGCAATTTGCGTATCGTATGTGCTTTCCTTAGAAAGGGAAAACGACTTCGAAATACGATTGACTGACATATAATGATGACTTTAAAATTCCCTCGGAACAAAAATTGGTCCCATCAAAAAGTAAGAAAAATATTTTGGGGAAATAATTTTTATCAGGGAGCCATTTCATGACCCCTATTGATATTATGAACATAAAAGACCGTCTAAATTAATAAGACAAAAATACTTCCGGTTTCTAATAAATTTCGCAGAATAAGGCGGACGAAAAAATATTTATCAATAAAGAGTATTTCCTGAAAATGTTCACTATTTTTTATGAGCGGACCAATCTATTCAAGTTGTGCCAATTCCTTTCCAATTGTTTTCTTTTTTCTTTCATTGTCTTTTTTCTTTCCGTCATTCCCCGTTTTCATTCATATATTTGTAATCTTTTCATTTTCTTTCATTCTTCCTGTCATTTATTTTTTCTTTCGCTTCTTCGTAAACTTTCGTGTTTTACGTTTTTTTTCTTTTTATCATTTCCTAAAACATATTTTTTCTGTTATTTCCATCCCAGAATGCAAGAGTAAACCAGCTGACATCGCCTTCATTATTGACGATTCTCGAAGTATCTATGGACCCGATTTCTACAAAGGCATGGAATTCATAGAAAATTTTGTGGACATTTTTCAAATTGGTCCCCAAGATGTTCGCATCGCCGCCGTGACATTCGGTCAGATAGTGATAACATATTCGACTTTCGGGTTTGAAGCGAATAACAATAAACGTGAAGTTCTTAATGCTCTTGGTAGAATCAAGTTCAAACCTCGTTATGGAAGTGCGACCTTCACAGATAAAGCCATTACTTATGCCCGTAACAATTTTTTCAACCATGCGCGACCTAATGTTAAAAAGGTTGCTATTATCCTTACCGATGGAAGATCCGAATATCCGCCAAAGACAAAAGCAGAGGCGGAGCTTCTGAAAAGCCAGGATGTTGACATTATTGCTATTGGTGTCGGCTCTGCTGTTGAGGAGAGTGAACAGAATTCAATTGCTAGCAGTCCCGACAGCGTTTTTCTAGTAAATTCTTATGGCGCCCTGAAAAAAATCATACGATCTCTTCGTTTCATCACCTGCAGAGGTAAGTTATAGTTCTTCATTTATATATTCCTATAAGGTTGTTTTCTCTGTCGACTCGGAAAGAATGGTAGAAAAAAAAGCAAGAAAAATGTACTAATCATGAAGACAGAAAAATATGGTTATCAACAAGAAAAAACCCAAAATGCGACTTTCGAATTGGTGATATTTGATGATACACAAGAAAAATATGATGGATTACTATGTGTTATCTGTCCTCTTATGGCTTGTGTGATTCAGAAATCGTCCTTTAAATGCAGTATTCCTTAAATCCAATATTCCTTAAATCTTATATAAATCCGATATTCTTAAATCTGTTGTTCCTTAAATTCGATGAAAATTCAAATACGGACCCTTAAATCCATTATTCCTTAGATCAAGTGATTTGTTAAATTCAATATAATACTACAAGTGGTTTCTTAAGTCCACAAATGTGATACAAATGCGGTTCCTTAAAGCTGATATTCTTAAATTCAAGAACGTTAAATGGAATTTTTTGTATGTTTAATAACATCTTTTGCATTTTATCCGGACAGAAAAAAAATACAATAAAATAAAACGAAAGAAATACTTTCTAAAATCTTGCTTTTCATTTCAGCTGCTTCAACTGCTGCTCCCACAACTACCACTACTACTACTACGACGACGACTACACCTCCACCGAAAGCGGAACGTGAGAGTCTATTATTATTATTATTATTTATTTTTTTATTATATATTATTATTACAATGTGACTTCATTTATTAAATAAAATGATACATTTTATTTCTCTGTTTATTTTAAATTTAACCCATATTCGAATTTCTTTATATTTAACTAGCATGCGACGGACAGGAGATCGACTTTAACTTTATATTCGACCCCGCTCAAATGGGTACGAGTGGTACTGAAGATGCCATTCGCTTCATTAAAACTGTCGTGTCTGCTGAAGATTTAAATAACGGTAAAGTACGCGTTGGCACCATTACGGGACCCTGTCCAGACACAAAAGGTATGTACGAATTCTTTTATTTCAAATTCAGCGTAGCCAATTTGCCGTATATTCTCGTGTATAAACTAATATAATATAATAATATAAGACGACGCCATTATTTTATGTCTGAGAAATTGGCCAGAATCCAAATTCCGTATACAAGCCGAAGTAGCTAAACAACACATTATCTTCAGAAAACCTTCCCAGTAAAAGTGCAGACCCACAGGCTTCACTCGCTCAAAGCCATTTTCGATCATTGATCTTAGAAATGCGGCTCTATACAGCTGACAGTTAATGGCTATTCATTACATCCATATGAAAATCTCAATCTGAAAAGGCTATTTACGTGATTTTCTGTGATTAAATATGACCGTTCATATTATTTAATCGTGCAGGTATGTAATAGAGACTAATTTAGTTTGATTTATTTTGTTTTACGGTGTATCAACCCCAATAATAGTTGTAAAAGGCAACACCTTCGTAACTAAGTTTTAGCACAAGGTCTCTTTGAAAAAGAGAACTGGCGTCACTTAAACTGCAACGAATTTCATGAACAAGATACATAAACTCAATGAAACTATATATATATATATATGATACGAAAATACCAATGCTTTGTGAGAGCTGTGTAACATTTAAATTTGTTTAAATACTGCACTCTGCTCTCATTTGCGTTTTTTCTTTCTTTCTTTCTTTCTTTCTTTCTTTCTTTCTTTCTTTACCTCGCTACCCATCAATGGGTCGCGAGGTAAATAAAAAGCCTGCTGTAGAGCATTGGCTCATGAAGTGATGGAAAATGAAAACGGGGATGGTATCTGTTTATATTTTACGTGACTTTCTAATATAAGAATATATTTATATATCTTTTTTTTTTCTTTTTCAGGTTTCCATCTCAATCGTTATCAAAAACTTCCTGATATCCTGACACATTTTGATAGCTACAGAACGACTGAAATTTACTCATTGATTACCGATCTTCGAATGGAAGGTTTTGAACCTGAAAATGGCGGCCGACCAAAAGCACGCAAGGTTGGCGTCTTGTTCCTTAGGGGTAAATTAAGCTATCCCGAACGGGCGAAATTAGAAGCGAAGTTGGCTAAGACAAAAGGAATAGAAATATTTATTGTCGACATGGGCAGTTTGAACCATGAGAGTGTACTTGAATCATTGGCATCCGGAAAGTCAAGTCATATTCTACGAGCATCCGATTCGGGAGAAATGATTGAAATGGCCAGGACACTTGTGGCTCATATTTGCAAAAGTAAGTTCAGTTTTTCTATAGTTTAGGGGGTGGCGGACAACCTGTGTTTCTAGGGTGGCTCAAGTGATTTTTGTGGGCGCATCTTCCGATTTTAAACATGTTCTTTTTCATCAGTTCGCTTCAAGCAAGGCAATAACGCCACTAAGACAGAAGGAGCTACTGGGAGTGAAAGCGAAGAAAAGTTCTACCCTTGTTCAAAGGATCGGGAAGAGGTGTGAAGGGTCTCTCGCATGGATTGGATTTTTGTATTCCTCCCTCATTTACTAAGCGAGAAGAAATTTACTCAGACTTTGAAGTCTTTTTTTGTTCAGTTAACCCGACTTCAACCTGAATCTGTTAACAAGGTTAATGACCTTAAGGCAAAATTGAATGAACATTTGGTCATTATGAAACTTGATAAAGGCTCGGCTGTTGTCATAGTTGATTATCAGGATTATGTAAACGATGTTGACGATTCTTAAGGATACTTCTAAATTTGTTCAGTTAGGCCCAATAGATGAGTTTGACTCCACATTTGCTATTGAGGCTAAGTTCCAAAAACACCTAGTCAAGTTGGTTAAAAGTGGAATTTTGCCTACTGACATTTCTAATTAGATTAGACCCTCTGGTTTAATTTGTCACTGTCTCTATGGTTTACTCAAATCACATAAGGTTGGTGTCCCATTCAGACCAATTTTGTCTATGATAGGATCTTCCCAACATGTTGTGGCCAAATGGCTTGCAGCCAGATTTGGAACAGTATAAGTCTTCCTGTGTTAAAGATTCTTCTGACTTTATACAGAATAACCGTCGACTAACAAACTTATGTGCTCCTTTGATATCTGTAGCCTTTTTTCCCTACGTGCCTCTATTGATATATATGCTAATGCCTTATATCGTAGTCAGTTGTCCCCTCCTCCTATTTCAGAGGATATATTTGTGGAAATTATGAAATTTGCCACGATGCCGGTTGAATTCAGTTTTGCCGGCGTCATGCATATGTAAATTAATGGAGTCTCAATGGGTTCACCTTTAGGACCAATTTTAGCTAACATTTTTGTAGGCTTCCATGAAGAGAGTTTATTATCTGATCTTAAGTTGACCTGATGTTTATTTTCGTTATGTTGATGATACTTTTTGTCTCTTCCATAACGAAAATGAAGCGGACCTTTTTCTTACGTCTCTTTACAATATCTGCCCAGCACTTTTACTTTTACTTTTACTCAAGATTAAGAAACTAACTCTTTCTTTCCCTTCTTCGGGTTTTCTCACTCAGTTTATCGAAAACTGATGTTTGTTGGTTTATATACACATTGGGACTCTTTTTGTCCCATAAAACGTAAATTAAATTTAATTAAGACTGTTACCCATAAGGCCTTAATGATCTGTTCTAAAACCAAGCTGGCTGATGAGATCAGGTTTATTACTACTACTACTCTCTGTAACAATGCCTATTCATTAAATATTGTCCAGTCCGTAATTAAAAATAAAATTTCGGAGTTTAATAAAGTCAAACCTGCTTCAGTACAGAGATGTCCTGTTGATATGTCCCGGAAAGGGATATATTTATTCGAAGTAGCAAAGTGGTTGTTGACTACTGTAACCGGGTAGGACAATCTAGCAGGTAACCGTAATGGACTGGTCCTCGTCGTAGTGGTAGGCAATAGGCGGAGTCAAAAGGCGAAGAGAATAGGCGTAGTCCATGTACCTCTACATCAGTCTGTATTTATGGCTGACACCAGCCAATCATATTACTGTGAGGGGGAACCCAGGTGTATGCATGTTCATTACATCACCTGTGTACCTACGTCTTCCTTGGCTATGTAGCATTAGTGAGCGATATTTTTAAATGCGTTTAAGCAAACTGTCACTGTTGGGTATAGACCTCAATATATATATATATATATATATATATATATATATATATATATATATATATATATTTATATATATATTTATATATATATTTTATATATATCTATATATATATTTTATATATATATATATATATTATATATATATTTAATATATATAATATATATTTTATATATATATATTATATATATATTTTATATACATATATATATATATATATTTTATATATATATATATATATATATATTTATATATATACATTATATATATTTTTATATATATATATATATATATATTGTATATATATTAGATATATATATTAGATATATATATTATATATGTATGTATATGTATATTATATATATTATATATTACTAATATTAGTGGTAAATATACACAGACAAATGCAAAATATATAAATATATATACATAGGTGCATACACATACATCCAACAGGATAGAATCCATGTAGAACTCAATGTCCAGAACATTTCGTGGTGAGATACACACACCATAGACAATCTAATCTTAAAGATCAGAATAAGTGGGAGGAGAGGAAAAGAAAAGAAAAAGGGGTCGGGGAGAGAGATGGGGCGGGGGAAACTAAAACTGAAGGGCATTTACTGAAATGGTCGCTGTGTATATTTTATATATATATATATATATATATATATATATATATATATATATATATATATATATATATATATATATATATAATATATGCATATATGAGATATGTATATATAAATATACGTTTTATATATATATATATCACATATATATATAAATATATATTTTATACATATATATATATATTTTATATATATAATAAATATATATTTTATTATAAAATATATATATATTATATATACATATTATATATATATACATATTATATATATATATATATACATATTATATAT